TCTCTTTCTTTGATTAATTTATAGACTTATCAATAATACCCAGTGGGTTATCTTGCAAATTTTTTTGCTTTCTTAACAAAGTTTTAAACTTTGGTAGCAAATGTCAAATGGTAACATATTTGAGAAGAACCATAATGTTAAACTTGGTGGATATTTTATTTATTGCTTTTTTAATTATCAATTCAATATAAAACGAACTTTAATATAGAAAATATATATTTAAACACACAAAAAAACCAACTCAACTTGAAAATGAATATAAGTTACAGAAATTGCAGAAGGTCAATATAAATTTTGAGTTTAAATAGTTGATTTTGATAATATTCAGGTAATATTAAATATCATACACGATTCACTACAAAATACTGGCATCGAATATCAAAGACATATCTACAAAAATAATATCAATTGTATAAGGTGATGATCCTGAAAATATAATTAGACCATATAATATTCAGATGATCTTCTTAAGTTTGATGAATGATTTAATAACATCTACCTATAATTGATTAATAATTATACAGGTACAATTATTAATTTTATCTTAATTCAATTTTGTATATATATACAATTTATATTTACTTTAAAATTTATATAATTTAACAATGTCTTAATCTAATTAATTTATTTTGTTAGGATAAATTTATTTACGATCTATTTTAAAAATATTAAATAAACATATGTCTAGTCGTAATCATAAATATAACCCTAATATATAGTACAGGCTATAGGGATGACATTTGGCTATAACACCAATTATTTACGGTTAATTTGGATGTTTCCTCGACTAATCCTCAGCCCCTTGGGTAAATCATAGAGGTTTTTTTTTTTTTTTAATTTCAAGAATTTTTTATAATGGGTCTCTTGATTCTTTCAACATAAAATTATAATATATTTTTTTTTAAAGTTCCATCATTAAATTTTAATTATTGTAGGAAGATACTAAGATATAACTTAAAACTTATAATACAAAAAATAGAGTTATAATTACAAAAAATATTGTTTTGACTTAGTTATCCTTACTGCAAATGGAATAGAGGTAAAATATGTACTAATCAAATGAATATTAATGTCTTCTTCAATAATTCAAATGAACAACAAGTTCTGTATGCTTTAACTGAAAAAGAAATCATTGCTATAATTAAACAGAGTTAATTAATTACAATAGACTTCTTGGATCATTTCTTAACCCATCAATTACTTGTTGGAATAATAAATTTGTAACCATGAGTTTATTTCAATAATTTCTTTTATTAACTTGTTTTTTATTTGAGTAAACGACTTTTTCCCACTCAAGGTTTGCTTAATGAACTTTACTTTCCCACCCAAAAAGTTTCAAAATACTACTTTCTCATCCAAAGTTAATATTTTGTTACTACCCAAAGCTGATTTTAATGGCGAAAATTCTCTCTGTCACCACAATTTGGAATTCCGGTCTCCTCTCTACAAAATTCCTCTAATTCCAGCACCTGAGTTCTTACTGATTGTCAGTCATCGCAAAGCTTTGGATTTTCTTTTCTTAGCTAATTTCTAACAACAAATATTCAATCGGTCACCACCATTTAATCCACCGACCTCCACTCTATAAAACCTCTCTTAATCTGACTCTTGGTAATTCGTTGAATGCCGACTGAGAAAGTGAAGTGCATTTTGGGTAATAATGGAATATTAACTTTAGGTGGGAAAGTGGTATTTTGAAACTTTTTGGGTGGGAAAAAATTGTTTACTCTTTTCATTTATATATTTTTAATTAATTGTTAATTATTTGATTGATTGGGAATAACTAGAATGAGATGCCAATACATTTTATATAATACATATTTACCAAATTATTATATTATCTTGATTGGTTTTACCAAAACTCTTGAAAATCTGAAAATAAAATAAAAGCAAAAGCATTCTCTGATTTGTCTCCCCTGTACACAAATATTATCCAGCCAAGGTACAACCCAGCCCACATATCGAGTTCATATTTAACCCTAATCTTTCACACCAGTCAAAAATATGGGTGACATTAAAGTTTTCTGATTCCATGAGTCACAAAAATATATAGAGAAGATGGAAGCAAAAAGCAAGAAACTTGCATCAGAAAAGCATAAAATTGATTTCATATATTAACAGAGAGTACTAATGAAATCCACAGAAAGCTATGGCAACAATCATTCTGGTTTTTTACTTTTTTACAAAAAAAAAGCAAAAACCAAGGACAAGTGAAATAAAAAAGTAGTAGCCTGTAGCGAATTAAAGCTTTCATGAAATAAGTTAAAAAATGGTCAGCAATGATACACGAAGACCACCCACCATTAAAACTTCATCTTCAAGGTCTGGCTGGGTTGCCATTGTGGTGCAGAGGGTCTGGTCCTGTTGGCACTTGCCTTGCTGACTGATGATTATCTTCATCAACTCGCAAACTTTTCACGAATCTCACCTTCACCCAAACCAACAAACCAAAAACACAAAACACAAAACAAAACTTCAGTAACATGACTTTAGCTTCAAGAAAAGGACTAAAATGAGAGCAAATAAAAAAAAGGTTTCTTTTTGTTCTGGTTCATTACCTGAGTGGACATGGGGGTGTCTCTTGCTGGTTTTGTTCCACCATGAGAGCCTGAGAGCATGGAAAGAGTGTTATAAGTAGCAGAAAAAGGAACCATTTTTTTCTAGTTAAAGTAAAAAAAGTTTGAAGAGAAAGAGAAGCTTACGAAAAGAGTGGACCAATGGGGCCATAATCACCATGAAAATGAGCAGAGAGATCGAAGCCCGGCTGAAATTTTTCTTGAACGCCATTGTTTTGTAAACTTTGGTAAGCCTTCAGTGGAAAGCGGCCACCTTTTTTTATACAGAGGAAAGGGCTAACATACATGAAACGCTCTGTTTGATAGCAGATTTTGTTCGGTGGAAAATATATTCAACCCTTTAAAGAAGTTTATTATTCAGTTACGCCCTTTTTTCTTTATCTTTTTGTTTTTTTTTTTGTTTTTTTTTGTTTTTTTGTTTTTTTTCAAAAGTGTTAAATCAAGCAATTGATATTTCTCATTTTGATTTAGTGACGTATGAATAATTTCTTGATTTTACTTAATTATTGAAGTCTTACCTTTAAATAAATGTAATAAAATGGTTTGCTGTTGCAATGGTCTGAATCATTATCAGAGATTAATCTTGAATTTGACGCTCATTTATTTTTCATATATACAAAATGCGTAATTTTGTGGAGTAGATTTTTGGTCAATATCAAATTCGACCATTTGTATTTACGTTCAATGGAAGAAGCTTTATTTATTTATTTCTTATACTGCTTTGTTTTGTAGCACCTACTCCTAGTCGAGAGGTTGTGCCAAATTTGTTAGGTGGAAAAATTTTCAACCCAGAAATAAGCGCTTTCTCCAATTAAGACCTTTTCTTTAAATTACATTTCTAGCCTCAGAAAGTTAGGATAGTTTCCTTGAAGCGGGAATTAAGGAAAGGGTAAATTTGTCTTTTGACAGGTAATTGATTTCTTTTTCAGAACGGACACGTTTCAGCACAGACATCCTCGTACGGAGACTGGCCGCGTGAGAGGAGGATGACACGTGGTGGAAATTTACCGGATGACAGGAAACAACGTTGTAATAGCGGCAAAGGACGATCACCAGCCAATCATTTTCTGTGGGGCCCGAACCAGCCTGATCAATCCCGTTAATAATATTTTTGAAAAATTAAAAAGAAAAACTTGAAACTCCATGAAAATTGATTTGTAATTAAAAATGGTTATATTTTGTTTTAAAATGTTTACAAGAATTTTTGATATGTTTAAAAGCGATTTTATACTTTATTTTATAATTTTCGAAATAAATAATCTTTTTAAGAATTATAAAATAATTAAATAATATTCAATTAACAATGATTATAATAGTATTAACTCTAGTGTTTAAAGATACCATAAATTGTTATTAATGAGTAAATATTATAAAATTACCCTTTTAACGACAAGAGAATTGTTGTTATTATCAAAACATCAGAAAGTTTTTTTTTATTATATTATATTTTTTTTTAAGATGGCAGCAGCTGATAACTATGAAAGATGGACAAAAGTCAGTTTTTTCACTCTTAATGTTTGCTATAATTCCAAAGAGAAAAAGGCTGTTTCAATTCAAACAAAAAACTCAGAAAACAAATTAATAAATAAAAGAACCCGTGAAAAATTACAAACTCTGATAAGATAAGATTTTAGTCAAAAAATTTCGTATTGAAAATTATTTCTTTTAACATCTATCGACACTGTTAGCGAAAATTCGGAGTTTGAAACAATCTGGATATATATTAATCAAAGAAAAGTCAGAATATACTTCCTTTGGTCATGTCTGACAGTTCAGAATTAAAGTAAATGATGAAGAAAAACCAGAACAATTTATACAATTTAAAGGATTTTACAGCCAAAGAAAATGTAAGTGAAAAACACTTATCTTCATAGGAGTCAATATAAGAAGCTCACCGGAAAGCTAAGAAACATTTTTCTGCAGGCAAAAAAAAGGGGATTAGAAACAGCGATCTTCGTTATCGGATCAGTGCTTCATTAGTTCACTCATGATTACATGATTAAACCGACATTTAGAATTAGAATTAGAAACCTAACTACTTCATCCGGCTTGCTCATCTATCTCACCAAACTGAAACCTTCCACCACCATCACTCCTAAACAAAATTCTGTTCTTCCTTCTCCTCTACAAGCAAGCAATATTTACTATTTGGTTTCTTACTAGGCCAAAATGTCAAGGAGAGACGGCCGAACAGATTGATCTAATCTAAATAGTAAAAGCTACAGTCTTATCAAAACAACCCGTCACCGGCCCTGCACCCAGAAAAAAAGAAGGGGAGGGATGAGGCAAAGGAGATTAGCAACACAATTTACTTTTTCCTCGTATCCATTCACTGATAAAAGGATAAATAGCTCAGGCACTCTTTTTATCACCACAGCCTCGTCCCCAAACATAGGAATACCCACTAGCTATAAATTACTAGGATCGAAATTAAGGTTCATTCTGGAAATAGATTCACATGGAAATAGATTTACATAACTTCATCAACTATCTTACACTTCTAAAAGAACCAATTTAATTTTTCCCAACATCATTTAAAACAACAAAAAATTTAGTAAAATACACCACAGTAAATAAAAAAAATGGTAGGAAACATAAAGATTGAGCCCCTATGATGTATTATTATTGAAGACTACATTATCTAATTACAGAAATGCATATGAATTATAAGAGTCAGATTACTATCTATGGTTCAATATACTCTAAACAGTGTTTAACATCAGAATTTCATCCTTTTTTGAAGGTGACGCTGACTAATGTTAATGATCATTTCAGGTACTATGGATATAAATGCGCCCAGAATGGACTATAAGACCGGTTTCTTATTGCATAAGCAATGCAAATTGGTTGGCAGGTACATCATCAGACTTTAGTTTCATGCTAGAAAGTTTCACACAATAGAAAAAATTCAACCTAGACCCAAACTGTTTCAAGCTGGCTAAATTAGTTGGCAGGTACATATCAGACTTTTTTTGACCCTGCATGAGATCTTCTCCAGGGTAGTCAATCTAGTGATAACAAATCCCAGATTCAAGTAAAACCTTTCTTTGTCGGCTGCCATTGAATCCTGAACAGACACTAAGCTAAGATTAAATCCTACAAAACTAATAAATGTGATATGACAAGATACACCAGCAATATCAGAGCTCCGGCATCAATGAATTAGGGTAACAAAGAAGCTTAAGTTTGCACAAGAAAACAATGATTGTAGGTATCAATATAAGTTACTGAAGGGAGAAGAGTCATCAAAGGAAGTAAACAAAAAATAGAAATCTATTGGCATCATACATGAAAGAACACAATATGAGCTTATTTATTAGGAATTCCAGAGAAATTAGAAATTATTATAATTTAATCATTTCGCCAGTCTAACAAATTGATCATTTACAAGAAGTCATCATGCCTCCGTTCATTTGTTCTGAAAACAATGAGTTGCACAAGAGAATTAAAATTATGTTCATAACTTACAGTCTTGACCTGTACTCACAAAACAATGGCTAAGGAAAGGTCCTTCAACCAGGTCAGCAATGAGTGCCACGTTTTTGCAGCCCTGAACAATAAGAAGAACATCAAAAGAAGTCTTATAAGATCAATAAACATGACTAATAAGGTCAGTGAGAACTTCACTCACATTACAAGCTCAGAAGTATCACCATTTGCAAATCATGCCCCAAAGTATTGTAGGTAGTCATTATCAGAGAAGAGGTCATCAATACTTGTGCCGTCAATTCCAGGATAAAATGGACTGCTGAGTCCACCGAAATCAATCAATGGGCTATCAATTGAAGGTCCAAATGTATCAACAGGCCTTTCTGGTTCACTCTGAAATGTGTCTTTAATATAAGGTTCCAGTCCACCAGTGCTAATGCCATTTTCATTTCTATCTAATGCTTCTACATAGCCTCCATCAACCTTTGGCCTAATCTGTGACACATTCATATCCATCTGACCATGCGTCAAATCATGACCAGGTCCCACTTCAAATGATGGATTATAGACATCATAAGTAGCAACACGTTGTAACTCAGCATTTGGCACCATGGGATAAAGCATAGGCGTTTCGTCCACATACATGCTCTGCGTAGAAACAAGACCGGCAGAAGGAACAAGGGACAAATTGTTGAACCCAGATGCTGTTATTGGTGCTGAGCCCTCAAAACCTACGTCTGGGGGCCTCAATGCTGTGACTGCAATGTTTTCCTGTTGATTATCATGTGTATTGTAATCAATAAGGGGTATATCAGTATCATTTATGTCAGGCAAAGTTCTTCTTGGCTCATCATGTTGGCACTCATTGTGAGACATTCTAGGCGCTTGATTAGCAGGCCTTGGTTTCCCGCGGTGTCCACCTGTCTTGCGCTTTTTTGGTTGCCGTCTATTTTCTTGGCCAGGAGGGGGTGTGGAATTGCCAAGACCACTTGCTGGCTCTACATCCATCAGTTGATTTTCCCTGCTGTCTTTGGATGAGACAGAACCCACACCATCATCAATACCATCAACATCATAGTTGCTATTACTACTAATGGTAGGTCGCTTCTTATTACCGTTGCCATCCACACGCATTTCAGTTATCCCAGAGGTTCCATTATCACTGCTAGGTTGCCGGATGAGAGATTCTTCCCGGTTCAAAACCCCCAACCAGATTGCACTTTCCTTTGCAGTCATCTTATCCTGTAAGCACTTTGACTGACGGACATGCCTCCTGATCTTTGCTATATCAGGAGACATATGCTTTATCACTGCTGTTAACACCCCTACTTTCCACATCTTTTTCAGATCATGTGGCTTTTTATATGGAGGACTCTGACCATGGGGTAGCCCTAATTTTACCCACCAATCTTCATTCCCAGTAGGCCACCAAGGTGGTGGAATTCCCTTCTCCAATGGGTACTTCCTCTGAGGAGGATCACAATGTTGCATCAAAGAAGACAAGAGAGAACCTAGAGTTGCGTCTTGCAGATCTTGAAGAATGCTCTGCGAGTTCCCATTTTGATTATTCTCTGCCTCACACATGGCTAAACATTCTGCTTCATACTTTGCTATGGCAGCAGGGCCATTCTTATCAAACTTTACCTTTTCTTTCCACCAAGCTCTAATATTATCAGACGAACCGGTCATGGGCTTACCCTTCTCAGGAATGATCCCGTAGACAAACCCACGTGCTTGGCACACTTCCATTAACTTCAACATATACTTAAGAATTCCATCTTGGGCTCTAGACATTTTCTTCCTCCGAGCCTGATCAGTTGTCTGCTTAGGTTTTTGCTTCTCTGCAGCTTGTAACGCCGCAAGCTTCTCTTTTTCCTTGATCCTTTTAAGTTTGATTCGGTCCTTCCACATCCGCCTTTCCAATTCTTCTGCTTCAATCTCCTCATCACTGACATCTTTTTCCGCTATATTTCCACACCTTATATCATCAACTTCAATATCCGAGCTGTCATCCAAAGTGTTCACAACCATCAGATTATCAGAAAATCCCCATTAAATCAAAATTACAATAACAGCTCTCTATTTCTGGTCTATTAAAGGAAAAGATCCATCTTTTAAACTTTATGAATTATCATACTTCAATATAAATGAAAAAAAAAAAAAAAAAAATTAAAGATCTCAGTCTAGCCACTTCACCTAACCCACATATAACATAACCATATTATTCTAAGACAAAAGTCTTAGAACATCTCATACCCACAGAATCAACAACAATACACTCACAACTCAAATTCCTTTTCTTTTTCCACATTTTCTAACCAACCAAACAAAATAAAACATCTTACCCTATTCAATCAAAACCCAGATAACTAACAATCTCAAACAGCAACAAAAGACCCAACTTTAATCATGAATATGACAATTCCATCAACAATCAATAACAAAATCGAATAAAACACTCAAATGGGCATGATCCAATACACAAAAGGAACAACAAATCGGCATCGTTTCTTACCAAATATCAGCTCCAATCTCTTCATATTCACCCATGTAGAATTCCACACGAAAACAAAATAATGAACCTCTCAAACCCTAGAAAAATTGGGGGTTTCACTTTTCAGTCTTTAATTTAATTCTCTTCAACTTTGGCTTTGGTTCTTCACGGAAGATGATGAAATAAGAGAGAGAACGTCACGTTAAAGATAGAAATGAATTGAACTGCATGGAATCGAATCAAATCGAATCGGTCCCAAAAAGGAATACGGAGCCGGAATAGTGGGTTTCGACAGACAAAACGATTCGGGGAATGTAATACGAAAACCGAGACCAAGCGATTTGTGAGAGGCGGCCAAACAAAGTTCAGAATTCTTATCAGAATTTGCCACCTCGGAGAGCAATAATCACGGGTGTCCATGTGCATTGTTATATCATGTATGGTCAACCTTTTTGGTCCGTTTGATTTTTGCCTTTTTGGAGAGTGTACATCTCAGTTTGGTCCCTGAGAATCTGATAGTAACATTCAGATCCTTGTCATGTCAGCCTCAGGTAAAGCTTTTTGAATTTTCTTTTATGTAAATATCTAAAATACCTTAATTTGTTAATTTTTATTTTCTTATAATTAATGGGATTGTTCTAAATTTTAACAAAAATTATCAGTTAGCAGCCATTTATTTTTTTTTATAACTGTATTAATTTTTAGTTTCATTTTCATAAGAAAATATTATGGGTATAGACTTTTACAATAAATTTTAAGGATCTAAGTGTTAGTATCAGATTTTACTAGACCTTCACATATTTAGGCCAAACCTCAAGAACCAAAATGTATTTAACTCTTTGATTTTGGCCTTTTTGAAAGTGCACACCACAAAATGTGGTGGTACTTATAATTGAGAAAGTGGAAGTTAAAGGTTCTAATTATTTGTTTGTTTAGTGTAATTTAATGGAGGGTTAAAGTTAATAAATAATATTTAATTACCCCTATATAATTAGTGGTAATTAAATATTATTACCCCTATATAATTACTCTTTACTTAAAAAGCACGGATGTAAGGCTGAAAGAGTGTGAAATAAAATATTCTTCTTGACTTTACTCTGTAGCATCTTCTTCTCTAAATTTCTACTCTTTACTCTGTAACATGATATCAGAGCACAGAGCTTCAATCAAAATCTTCTGCTTCTTGATCAAGCTTGAGTTTTAAACTTTGCTTGAAATCAGATTACTTCTTCGATCAGATTACTTCGTTTTAACCATTAAAATTAGTGATGATGAATACAAATGGAAAAGCATCAATCACAACTGCAATCGACTCAAATTTGCCTTTTTTTATTCATCCCTCTAACACACCAAGTTCGGTTTTGATTTCACAACAACTGATTAGTAGTGAAAATTATTTCATTTGGAGTAGAGCAATGACTGTGTCTCTGCAAGCTTAAAAAAAGTTAGGTTTTGTTGATGGTTCTTGTGGGAAATCAATTTTCAATCCTATTTTACACGCACAATGGGAGCGCTGCAATTCGTTAGTATTGGCTTGGATTTTTAATACAGTTTCAAAAAACATTTTCAATGGAATTGTGTATTTAACTAGTGCATATCAAGTGTGGCAGGATTTACAGGAACAATATCAGAAGGTAAATAGAACTAGAGTATTTGGTATTCATCAGGAAATTGTGAATCTTGTCCAAGGAACTAATTTTGTAGCAGTCTATTACAACAAGCTGAAAGCGTTATGGGATGAAAAAAGTTCACTGATCAATTTACCACCTCCAGATAGTGCCTCTGCAAAATCTTATTTGGATCATTTAAATCAACAGAAATTGCTACAATTTCTAATGGGACTGAATGATTCTTATTCAATGGTTCGAAGTCAAATACTCCGTATGACACATTTGCCTTCAGTTAAGCAAGCTCACTCGGTGGTGAATCAAGATGAGAGTCAATTTTGTCAGGTATCAATGTTAACTCAGAAGTGACAACTGCTCTTTATGCACAAAATGGTTAGAAGAATCAAAATCTGAATCCTAAATACAAAGGGAAGAAACCTTATTTTGAGTGTGATTACCAATGTTGTAAAACCCAACCCAGAGTGAAACCCGGCAAAGTTGCTGGGTCTCGGGTTGACCATCGGTCAAACCGGTTGACAAAAACTTTTAAAATTAAGCAAATACACCTCTAAAAATTACAGTTCATCCTTATAGGTTTGAAATTTAGCAAACACACCCCAAATACAAATTAGCCGGCAACTGGTTGGTGGCGACGACACCCCAGATGCAATCATGCAACCTCAATCGTCCCTTGAGCCCATTCCCCTTAAAATATACCCAAGATCTGGCCAAAATAGGTTCAATTTCAGCCAAATCTCACCGACGTCAGCGTCTGCATTCCAGGCCAGATCTCATCGACGCCGGCGTCGACAACCCTCCCTATCACCCAGAAATTACTCCCCTCTTCCTCCCGACCAAAACTTGCCTCACCCCACCCCCGTTAGCCTTGCCAATCACCGGCAAAAGCCGGTTGTTTCCTCTACCAGTTTTGTTTGATTTCCGGTCGATTTACTCACCGAAAATCAACGCCGTCACCACCATTGCATTCACCGGCAGTTTCTCTTCAAAAGCCCCAACATTCCGGTTGGCAATTGTTCGCCGATCATCCTCCCAAATCTTAGGGTTTTGGGTGAATAGGAAAAACATAAACTCGGCTCGTTGAAGCTTCCGGGTCCCGGTTCAACCGGTTCAACTGGTCGGACCGGACTAGGTTTTAAAACAATGGTGATTATTGTCATCTGCCTAGCATCAAAGGAAAAAGTGGCATAAAATCCAAGCCTTCAATTAATCAAGTGCATACTCAAACTTCAAATGTAGTCACTAACAACATCAATTATGGTAATAATCTTGTGTCGGTCTTATCTCCAAAACAATACCAGCAGACAGCAGCTCTTGCAATTGTTGGGAAAAGAGAATATTACAGCTCCCACGGCCAATTTGGCAAAACTTTCACTTCTTTGTACTCTTATCACAATATTGAAAATTGGATAATCGATTCAGGGGCCACAAATCACATGACACATGATTTTTATGGCTTGAAATCAATTATTGCTGATGAGTCATCCATGAGTTCTCTTGCAAGTCTTCCTAATGGTACCAAAACCAATATACAACACACTGGTTATGTTGACTTGAATAATGATATTTGTTTAAAAAATGTGCTTCATTATCTGATTTTAAGTACAATCTTCTTTCAGTTTCAAAATTAACTGCTTCCAATGATTGTTCAATCACTTTTTATCCTAATTTTTACTTAATTCACGACCTTTGGAGTGGCAAGTTGAAGGGGATTGGTAGAAATAGTCAAGGGTTATACTATTTTGTTCCTTTTTCAAAATTAAAATCAACTATATCAAACTTAGATTTGATAAATAAAACTATTTGTGGGAAATCATGTTCTAATCATGATGTAAACCTTGTTTCAGAAATGAATAAAGATTACAATGTTTGTTCTTCCATATCTTGTTTATCTGTTGATTCTGAAACATGTCATCGTAGACTAGGACACACTCCTTACTCAGTGATGAAAGTGATAGATAATAAACTGCATACAACCAAGCTACCTCAACCTCATTGTAGTATTTGCCCTTTAGCTAAACAGACCAGACTTCAATTTCCCTAAAGTACCTCAACATCTGCTCATAATTTTGACCTTCTACATATGGATGTATGGGGTCCTTACAAAACACCAACCAATGGGAATGCAAGATATTTCCTTACCATTGTCGACGACCATTCTAGGATCACTTGGGTTTTCTTTATGCAGTTTAAGTCAGATACCTTTCAGACCATTAAACAATTCTTGTTAATGGTTCATAATCAATTCCAAATAACACCTGAATGTATTAGAACAGATAACGGTCTTGAATTTTTTAACAAATCCTATTCTAAGTTGCTAAGTAGTAAAGGGATTCTCCACTAAAGTACATGTGCATACTCACCTGAACAAAATGGTATTGTTGAGAGAAAGCATCGACATATTTTAGAGATGGCTAAGGCACTCAAAATTCAATCTAAAGTTCCAAATAGTTATTGGGGTTATTGTGTCCTAACTGTAGTGTATCTCATTAATAGATTACCTACTGTAGTTCTTAAAGGTTGTTCACCTTATGAAAAGTTCTTTGATAAAAAGCCTAGAATTGACCATTTAAAAGTGTTTGGATCATTGGCCTATTCTTTTATTCTATCCCCTAAAGACAAACTATCTCCAAGGTCCTCTCCAAATGTTTTCTTAGGATATTCTTTGAGTAAAAAAGGTTACATTCTATATGATCTGACATCTCATACAATACATGTTACTAGGGATGTAATTTTCTATGAAACTATCTTTCCATTTCACTATTCTCAAGCATCCAAATACATTTTCTTACCTGAAACATTTGTGGAAGTAGACATTTATCCATCACATTCATCATCAGCACCTTTTAATGTTGCAAATGAAGACATATTTCATGATCAAGTCATAGAATCATCTTCTGCTTCCCCAACAGTAGCTTTGCCTACTGATCCAAATCCTTTATCTACTTCTTTAACCCATGAACCTTCTATTAGAATATCAACCAAACCATCCAAACCTCTTATATGGACTTTTGATTTTCTTTGTCCAACCATTACACAGAAATCCACTACTGCATTGGTTAAATATCCCATTTCCCATTTTATATCATATAATCGTCTATCTCCTTCCTATCAAGCATGTCTATCTAATTTATCATCACTCACTGAACCTACATCTTTTACCCAAGCCTCTAAAGATCCTCATTGGATAAATGTAATGCAAAAGGAAATTAAAGCCTTAGAACTCAATGCTACTTGGTCTATAGTACCCTTGCCTCCTGGTAAAACTGCCATTGGTTGTAAATGGGTGTATAAACTGAAATATAGGGCTGATGGTTCTTTGGAAAGGTATAAAGCCCATTTAGTTGCAAAAGGATATACCCAACAAGCTAGTATAGATTATGATGAGACATTTTCACCTATGGTAAAGATGGTGACTGTTAGGGTTGTTTTGGCTTTGGCATCTATGCATGATTGACCTTTGCATCACATGGATGTAGACAATGCCTTTTTACAAGAAGATTTACATGAAGAAATTTACATGACTTTACCGCAAGGGTTTATGAAAACAGGAGGTCAAAATTTGGTTTATAGGTTACATAAGTCACTTTATAAATTGAGACAAGCCTCTAGAGCTTGGAATCATAAACTAACTTCTGCCCTTATTTCTGGAGGCTTTCAGCAGTCCCATTCTTATTATTCTCTCTTTATTAAGAGACATCAAACCAAATTAGTTATCTTGTTAGATTATGTAGACGA